CTATGAATAAGTTACAGAGGCTACAACCAATAATGGGGAAGATTAGCATGATCTTTGTCCCTCTGTAACATTCTCACTCATCCAAGTTTGCATTTCCTCCTGTGCAGGAAAATTCTCAGCAACAAAAGAATGATCAAATTTAGATCCTACATATATATGCTATATTCAAATGGGGGGACTAGATATATAAAGTGCTTTTAATTCTAAACTGTAGATCAGACATGTATGAAAATACCCTCAAATAAAAGGTGACATTCTGTACTGTCACCTCATATGAAACATTTGATCTCAATTCGAAAATGCTGGAGAATAAAGCCAAATAAAAAAAAACGTAATAAGTAGGGGAGTGTATTATCTAAGGCTGGTGACCAAATGATTAAATAAATGTATTCAAGCACATTAGGATCCCGTGATCTAGAAAAGGGATAACAGTTTGTGACAGTTTGCAATAAGAAACTATTCAGTGCAAAATAAAATGTTTAATATTCAACATATGCCAACCCTTTCATGAATTTTTGCCCAAGTTAACCGGTGGCTCCTGAAAATTGATTAGTCTGTATTGGAGAATGAGGTGCTATTAGCGTAGGTCACAAATGGCCGCCTTCTTTCAGGGGCGCGACAGAGAGCTTGAATCATGGCCCATCCATCTATGACCATTCCCCTTCAGGGAATGAGAGCCCGTGTTCCCTCCTTAGACCCCACCATCATCCCTCCCTGAAAGTGGCACGCTTCTCCCCTCATCCTTCCATCTCTCCATCCATATGCCTGGGGAGTAGACCAGTCGCATTAAAACACAAAGCACTGATTATCAATACACTCAAAGAAAAGGTGAAATTCTGTACTGTCATGATATGAAACGTTTGATATCAAAACCAAAATGCTTGTGTATAGAGCCAAATTTAAAGGTTTAGCATCACTGTCCAACTACATATGTAGGGGAGTGTATCTACACTCACAAGTTCTTTTTGTTCCCCCAGCTTCACTCTTTTTAATGTAACATGACTGACCGGCTGTGTCATATAGAAGTGTTGACCCCAATACTGTGTGTCAGTCAGGAGGCACTTGTCCTTCAGACTGACTTTTGACCGTGCTGGCCTAAGCAGAATTTTGTGTGTGTGTGTGTGTGTGAGAGAGTGAGTGGGTGGGTGGAGGAGTGGGATCAAAAGGCCAAGGTTGATGTCACAGAGCATTTCACAACATTTATACAAACGGAATCTGACTCATATTGTCAGATTCTTCACTGTTTTATTTCAAACTGATGAAACTGGTTGTTTACGAAGTGCAAGTCAAAAAATACCATGTATTCTGTATAAACTTTCCTCCAGGATACATTATTACAGGTAGGCTGCATTGTCTCATGCCAGTGCGAAGGCCGTCTGCACTTATCTGTCTGATAACTCGCAAACACTCATGGGATAGCTAAAAAGAAGTTTGGCTACAATATGCTGTCCTAATATTCGAAAATGTTACCAAGGTGACATCGTCCACTGAACCCCCTTTCATCCTCAAAAGAGTCAGAGTTAATCTTACCAAAAACTATAAACCTGTAGCTAATATTGACATTTATTTAATGACAACGTCTTCACAACCCTAATTCTACATCTAGCTAAGGTGTTTTGTGGTTGTAGAATCAGTATTCATGAAAATCAAAATGTGCACGAAAATTAGCTAGCTAGCGTCAGCTTGCTGGCTGAACCAGTTACAAATCAATCCATATGAAATGCAAGGGATGCTAACAACGGCAGTTCACACTCAATACTGAATACTCCCTCTAGCTAGCTAGCTAGTGTAGTGAAATTCTAGCTAATAACACACATGTTTTCATGATAAGGCAGTTTCTGTTTTGCCGTGATTAGTGTGCTGAGTTCTGCAGCACAGCTTGACTGCTCTAGGCTAGCTGCGATGTTATAGTGTTGGCCAAATGTTACAAAGTAGCGAGGCACAGTGCCAGCTGTTAGAGTCAGATACATGCTGATTTCTTGGTTATTCATCAACAAGCTGGCAAACTAGCTACAGTAATGGCCATTCAAACAAGTTAGCACTAGTCTCCTAGCTGGGGCAAGTTTGCTCAGCTGATCAAGCATCGTAGTAGTCAGTGCGTCATAGATACGTCATAGAGTTAGGAACTAGTGTTCGGCGGATGAGCAAAATCTAGATTTTTTTAGATGAGTTCCACGTCCTACAAGACAGATGGGTTGAAGGACGAGCGTCACGTAGGAGTGACACCATCTGACGTAAGACAATGGGTAGGCCTAAGTTAGCTACATGTTAGTTAAATGCCAAGTTTATATCAACAATGATTTATTAATGTTAAAAAAGATAGGATACAGTAGATGTAACAAGTCTCAATAAGCTTAATTACCATCTGTGACATGTTAATATATGTGTGTACATACTTTAGTATGTGTGTATGTGTGTGTGTCTCTCTCTTTCTGTGCGCCTCTCCTCCAGTCTTTTCAAAAGAGTCCGGGAGCCTCTCCTCTTCTGGATCCAGGACACACTCACACACACTGCACCCCAGTGTCCTCGTTGTGTTGACAGTTGTTGATGCCCATGCCGTTGTGAGGGCAGTCAAACACACTGGCCTCTCTGCCTGTGCATTGCAGGTCATCAAACCAGATCCTACCGATTCCTAAAAGGATGACAACACAATCCACAAGCCAAGTCCATGAGATTCAACAATGAACAATGAGAAATGTATTAATATGTGTGAAACAAAAGAAAACTCAACCAAGACAGGATCTCTATAGACCCATAGACCAATGAATATTCACTTAAATGTTCAGGTAAATGAATACATATCATATTTACATATACAGTATGTCTTAGAGACGAGAGAGTCTAGGCCGGATATTGTGCGAAACCTGGCATTAGCGTGAGGTGTAGTGCTGAGTGAGTGTGTGTGTCTGTGTGACTTCACAGCTCCACACACTCACCTGGTCCAGCTGCTCTTTCACCCTTCTCTCCACGTGGACCTAGTAGTCCATGACTTCCCGGCAACCATGGAAATCCTAGGACATGAAGAGGTTGAAATTAAACACACACGTTTGTTTTACTATCCTTGTGGGCACCAAACAATTGATTCCCAATCAAAATCCTATTTTCCCTAACCCTAACCCTTATTCTCTCCCTAACCCTAATTGTAACCTCAAACCTAACCCCTAAGCCTAAAATAGCCTTTTTCCTTGTGGGGACCGGCGAAATGTCCCCACGTCCGAATCTTCCTTGTTTTACTATCCTTGTGAGGACTTCTGGTCCCCACAAGGATAGTAAAACCACACACAAACACACACCAACAAGTCCTCTTGTTCCATTCCTACGGAAGAAGAACAAGAACCACAGAATTATCCAAAAAGTCATACAGGACACTTCATATGATTAAAATAACACTTTACGGCAGGATAATATATAAAATTGTAATTCCTGTAATCAGTTTGAAGGACATGACGATGAGGGTCCTATAGCTCAGAGACAGGGTGAAATTCACCTTCAGGTCCTATGGGTCCAGGTTGTCCTGTCGGCCCTGTGTAACCCTTCAAACCAGGGGCCCCCTGTACACCATCACTCCCCTGGGCTCCTAACAGATTCACAGCACACTATGTCACACTCACTCTACAATGTGGAGGCTATAGTGTACAGTACATGCAAATGCAAAAATCTGCACAAATTCACAGAGTCACACAATTAACACAGGGCTCTCCAACCCTGTTCCTGGAGAGCTACCCACCTGTAGGTTTTCACTTCAACCCATGTTGTAACTAACCTGATTAATCTTATAAACCAGCAAACTATTAGAATCAGGTACGTTAGATTAGGGTTGGAATGAAAACCTACAGGATGGTAGCTCTCCGGGAACAGGGTTAGAGAGCCCTGCACTAACATGTACAGGCACAATCATGCTTGGCTGCGTGAAACAGTCAAACACCAACAGTTATTTACCAGTGTCCCCTTTGATCCCATTCTGGCCTGGTATCCCTGGTAAACCTGTGAAGAGGTTGGAAGGTAAAGGTTAGAGATGGCAGCAACAGAAAATAATAGAGGCCAGGTTCAGTTAATTGTTTAGTACAAAAAAATTGGTAGTTTACAGGTGAGCCCTTCAAATATGCAGGTGAAGTATGGAGTATTAGAAAGTAAACGGTCTACAAATGAGTGTAGTGTTAAGCCCATGCAGACTCACCAATGTGTCCCTTATCCACCTTTGGTATCTGTAGTCCTGGCAGCCCAGGGGTTCCTGAACAGTTAATAGCTGCACCGCCTGTACGTATGACACACATAATCAGAGATACTGTATATATAGACCCATGGGGCGGCGCGCAATTGGCCCAGCGTCGTCCAGGGTAGGGGAGGGAATGGCTGGCAGGGATGTAGCTCAGTTGATAGAGCATGGCGTTTGCAACGCCAGGGTTGTGGGTTCGTTTCCCACAGGGGGTATGAAAAAAAATAATGTATGCACTAACTGTAAGTCGCTCTGGATAAGAGCGTCTGCTAAATGACGTAAATGTAAATGTATACACACGCACACACACTGCACACAATATCCACTGAAGAGAATCCCATACATACACATGACACAATATTACACCTAACATTTAACATCACTACTGTATTACAGATGTAGGATCTTAATTTGATCACTCTTTTATTGCTGCAGATTTTCCTGACAGCAGGAAATGCAAACTTGTAGTGTATTTGAGTTTAAAAAAAGGCTTCTACATTGTCATTTCCACCTTGAAATTTCAGCCGTAACGAATAATGTATCAACCCCTAAAAGAATGTCCATTAATTATAATCCACATAATAATTCACATTTCCTGTTGCTGCAGGATTATTTTCCTGCTGTAGCCAACTGGCTCAAATTAAGATCCTACAGCTGTACTGTATGTGTGATAAGAAGAAAAAAAAAGACTGTATATGAGTGAAGCAAGTAAACTAAACTAGCTTTATTTCCAGTTCTGAATGCATTCAACTCAGCACTTTTAATTTAAATTCAGAGGAACTAAAATGGACAGAATTCACAATGATGATCTGGTGATATACAGATGTAGGATCTTAATTTGATCACTCTTTTGTTGCTGAGAATTTTCCTGCACAGCACGAAATGCAAACTTGTAGTGTATTCAAGGTTTTAAAAGGCTTCTAAAGGTTGTAATTTCCACTTTAGAATTTCAGAAAAATTTATCAACCCCATTTCCTGTTGCTGTAGGATTAATTTCCTTCTGTAGTATACTGGCTCAAATGAAGATCCTACATATGTTGTTTCTGTATATTACTGTGACAACAAGAACAGAAACTGAGAAGGCTGAAATGTGGAACTATGCCTGGAAATGTTACAACATTTGAGCCAGTCATGATGAGGGAATATTTATATTTATGACTGATATGTTGTTTTTATGGTATAATGATGTCATGTCATAGTATCGTGGGGAATAGGTTAGAGTTACTAGATAAGTGGTTAGGTGACAGAAAGTCTACATTCCATTATGTCAAAGGAGATTACTGATGTTTAGGATAGCATAAGTGATGGGTAGGATAGTGACTTGGGGTAAAGAGTGATGAACATCAAAGACAGGGAGTGCCCATGGAGACTTGCCAGATGTATGCCAGGAAGAGGGTAATAAAGGGTAGATAAGGTAGAGTGTCTTCTTTGTTCAAGTTAGTTCGTAACACCAAGGGGCAAAGCTCTGGTCATTGCTGTAACGAACCCGGTACCGATCATTAAACATTTGCATTAACTGTCTACAAAGTGTCTAAGTATATCCTTGCATCCTTGATTCTTTGATACCCGAGAAACTCATCATAACAATGACTCTGTTAACCAAAAAGGGGAGTTTGAGTCCATCTCCTACCTATTCCAGGGTGTAAGAGAATACGGCCTTGTGCTCACCAGCCTATTAACAGTGAGGACAATGAAGTAAAAATATCAACGTCCTTTCATGGAGAGAAAGAATAGTATCTGCCTGGGCAGCAGCAGCAGCGGTTTTAACCATCCATCCTACACTATTTTTAAATGCATTAACAGCAAGTTCAGCCAATCAAATATGAATCAAGACATACTTTATTTGGACTGGCTGTGGGACATCAAGTACACGACTCACGTTTCCTCTGTGACGGATGGGGTGAGAGAGGGGGAGAGAGGGGGTAATATTCAGAGTCCCTAACACTTAATCACCCAGCTCCACCTGCAGAACTGACCCATGTGACACTGTCAATAATTAATCTAGCCTCTTTCTCTCAGACTAAAAAAGCACACTAATACCACGGTCCTACCTGTCCACCAGGGAGCTGACTGAAGTTAGTGTTGATACATGGGTAATTGCCATGGTAAACAGTCAACTTATCCACCATGTTCTCCACAACTCTACTGCTTGAGTTTTATCCCATGTTAGTACTACTGGACTGGTTCTATGTTAGTAATACTGGACCTACCTGGTGTTCCAATAATGTCACATTTCCTACTGGGGTTTAGATTGATCTTAAGGTTTGGGGTCAGTAGGAGTAAGGTGAATCACCTTTGGGTCCTGGTTCCCCTGCTTCTCCCTTGGCTCCAGTCTGGCCATCAACTCCAGGGTCTCCTTTTTGTCCTGTCTCACCTGGAACACAGTAACCCTCTCGCTATCTACTGTCTCACCTGCAACACAGTAACCCTCTTGACAGGAGGTTGGTGGCACCTTAATTGGGGCGGACAGGCTCGTGGTAATGGCTGGAGTGGAACACATGGAATGGTATCAAATAAATCAAACACATGGTTCCCATGTGTTTCATGCCATTCCATTAGCGCCGTTCCGGCTATTATTATGAGCCGTCCTCCCCTCAGCAGCCTCCTGTGCTATCTACACTCTTAGAAAAAAAGGGGCTATCTAGAACCTAAAAGGGCTCTTCATCTGTCCCCATAGGAGAACCCTTTGAAGAACACATCTTGATTCCAGGGTAGAACCCTTTTGGGTTCCATGTAGAACCCTTTCCACAAAAGGTTCACTTGACAGAGAAAGGTCTGTATACATTTCTTTTTGATGGTTTATGTTATTATGAGAAAAACAATAATTGCCTCGAAAAAAGGCAGTGATGCTGCCTGCTTACTAAACGGGGGTACTTAGCATCACAGGAGGCTGCTGAGGGGAGGACGGCTCATTATGATGGCTGGAACGAAGCAAATGGAATGTATTTAATACCATTCCACTTCAGCCATTACCACGAGCCCATCATCCCCAATTAAGGTGCCACCAACCTCCTGTGGTTAGTATCCATTCTACACTGAGTATACAAAACATTAGGAACACCGGCTCTTTCCATGACATAGACTGACCAGGTGAATCCAGGTAAAAGCTATGCTCCCTTATTGATGTCACCTGTTAAATCCACTTCAATCAGTGTAGATGAAAGGGAGGAGACAGGTTACAGAAGGATTTCTAAGCCTTGAGACAATTGAGACATGGATTGTGTATGTGTGCCATTCAGAGGGTGAATGGGCAAGACAAAATATTTAAGTGCCTTTGAACGGGGTATGGTAGTATGTGCCAGGTGCACTGGTTTGAGTGTGCCAAGAACTGCAACGCTGCTGGGTTTTTCACTCTCAAAAGTTTCCTGTGTGCATCAAGAATGGTCCACCACCCAAAGGACATCAAGCCATCTTGACACAACTGAGGGAAGCATTGGAGTCAACACCGGCCACCATCCCTGTGGAACGCTTTCGACACCTTTTAGAGTCCATGTCCCGGCGAATTGAGGCTGTTATGAGGGCAAAAGGGGGTGCAACTCAATATTCGGAAGGTGTTCCTAATATTTTGTACAATTCAGTGTATAGTGTGACGAAGGATGGCATTTTGGTAGGACGACCTATTGAAAAACGCCTGACTCAGACTCGCAGGGTAATCTGTTAGCTTGTGTGAAAGTCCATCCCTGATTGAGACTTCATACAGGGGTAAATGTCAATGCATTGACTAAACAGTGAGTTATTATGAAACAGAGAGGCATTCTCCACTTCCTCTGCCCCTGACTGGAGATGACAGGCCATCAGTGCACAGATCATTACTGGACAGACGAGCAGCTGAATGCTAATGCTACAGAGCTACACTGAACAAAAATATAAACGCAACATGCAACAATTTAAAATATTTTACTGAATTACAGTTCATATAAGGAAATCAGTCAATTGAAATAAATAAATTAGGCCCTAATCTATGGATTTCACATGACTGGGAATACAGATATGCATCTGTTGGTCACATACCTTTAAAAAAAAGGTAGGGACGTGGATCAGAAAACCAGTAAGTATCTGGTGTGACTACCATTTGCTTCATGCAGTGCGACACATCTCCTTCGCATAGTTGTTCAGGCTGTTGATTGTGGATTGTGAAATGTTGTCCAACTCCTCTTCAAAGGCTGTGCGAAGTTGCTGGATATTGGCAGGAACTGGAACACGCTGTCGTACACGTCAATCCAGAGCATCCCAAAAATGCTCAATGGGTGACATGTCTGGTGAGTATGCAGGCCATGGAAGAACTGGGACATTTTCAGCTTCCAAGAATTGTGTACAGATCCTTGAGACATGGGGCCGTGCATTATCATGCTGAAACAAGAGGTGATGGCGGCGGATGAATGGCACGACAATGGGCCTCAGGATCTCGTCACGGTATCTACAGTTTCTGCATTCAAATTGCCATCGATAAAATGCAATTGTGTTTGTTGTCCGTAGCTTATGCCTGCCCATACCATAACCCCACTGCCAACATGGGGCACTCTGTTCACAACGTTGACATCAGCAAACCGCTCGCCGACACGACGCCATCTGCCCGGTACAGTTGAAACCGGGATTCATCCGTGAAGTGCACACTTCTCCAGCGTGCCAGTGGCCATCGAAGGTGAGCATTTGCCCACTGAAGTTGGTTACGACGCCGAACTGCAGTCAGGGCAAGACCCTGGTAATGATGATGAGCATGCAGATGAGCTTCCCTGAGACGGTTTCTCACAGTTTGTGCAGAAATTCTTCAGTTGTGCAAACCCACAGTTTCATCAGCTGTCCGGATGGCTGGTCTCAGACGATCCTGCAGGTGAAGAAGCCAGATGTGGAGGTCCTGGGCTGGTGTGGTTACACGTAATCTCCGGTTGTGAGGCTGGTTGAACATACTGCCAAATTCTCTAAATTTGCCGCCTGGGCTCATGGTAGAGAAATTAAAATTCAATTATCTGGCAACAGCTCTGACATTCCTGCAGTCAGCATGCCAATTGCACGCTCCCTCAAAACTTGAGACATCTGTGGCATTGCGTTGTGTGACAAAACTGCACATTTTAGAGTGGCCTTTTATTGTCCCCAGGACAAGGTGCACCTGTGTAATGATGATGCTGTTTAATCAACTTCTTGATATGCCACACCTGTCTTGGCAAAGGAGAAATGCTCACTAACAGGGATGCAAACAAATTTGTGCACAGAATTATTTTGAAATAAGCTTTTTGTGCATATGGAAATGTTCAGTGATCTTTTATTTCAGCTTATGAAACCAACACTTTACATGTTGTGTTATTATTTTTGTTGAGAATAGTTTGGTGCTGATCTAACATTGGCTGTTGCAGTGACGCAGTGATGCCACTACAATGGAGCAATGTAGTGCTTTAGGTTGACTCACCCGTTTCTCCCTTGTCTGCCCTCTCACCAGGTACTCCCCTCGCACCAGGTGGACCTAGGGAAACCACACCGTCAAATAACATGTGAATTACAAGCTTGTGGTGTAAGGGGCATTTATACCTCTCTTCCTCTCTTCTGTGGTTGTTGATTTGGCACTAAGGATGAGGGAACTTACCAATAGGTCCCTGTGGGCCTGGTGGAGCTGCAATACAACAAAACCTCATTATTACCACCAATACACTCTTGTGTTGTCTCCAGGCTGGTGTTTCTGGCAAGGGTACGGAGCTCCTCCTCCTGGTCCGTCCCCAGGGGGATGTGATTGTCAGTCAGCTTGGCTGTCCTGGAGCCAGAGGAGGAGAGACTACTAGACTTAATTGAAAACACAGGGGCAGAGCTGCACATAAAGAGACACAAAGCATTACTAATACAGGAAGTAATGTGTTAATGCAGTTCAGGATATCATGGAAAATCCGGTTTCTCATTTACAACATTAGACAAACATGTTTGAACCATTTTGGTCATGAAACCAACCAATGGTTGATGTACCTTTGTAAAGGAGGAAGGCATTCAGTGCAGTCAGAAGGATGAGGTAAACTACAATAACATTTAGACATCGCTGTGCTCCTCTGGCCTTGGCTGGTTTTAGATCTGAAACATGTTGACATAAACACAAACAAGATTTATTCTACATTCCAAATGGGCCTCTACCATCTACCCCCCTAGGCACTCCTGTAGATCTGAAATGATCAGAAAGGTGGAAGCAGTATGGCAAAAACCCCCCCCCCAGCCTATCAGATGGCAAGCTGAAGCAATTATCATATTGCTTAAACCTATCCAATCCATGAAGTGTCAAGGGGTAGGGATTAAAATTCAGAAAACTGTACCCTTTGCAATATGGAGAAATTATCGCAACAAACCCACAGACATGGCTGCCCTCTTCTGGCCATTTCTCTTTTTCTGCCTCAATGTAGAAAGTCAGGCTGTTGAGCTCAGTCAATAGCACTCATATACTGTAGGTTGCCACAGCAGGTGCTTGTGGCCAGCGAATATAAAGTTAGTACACTGTTGTAGTCAGACATGAGTTAACTAGGACAACCATAGCTGCATACAATATTTATTTGTGCTCTAGACATGGGTTCCACCTCGGAGGTGTATCTGACTGTTTCGTCTAAAGTACACTAACTTATAGTGACATAGAAATACGATGACATTGCTAAAATAGGCAAATAATTAGTCGGAAACAACTTTGCCATATTATGATGTCGTAAAATTTACTTTAGAGAGATGGCAATGTTGCCATTACTGTTAATAGCAAAGTTTGTCAAAAATAGCCAGCAATGCTAATGTTAGCTAGCTAAAATACGGTGGTCCCCTCAATCTTAGTTAGCTGGCTAAAGTTATACAGCATCTAAAGTCAATCTGGCGACATCACAATCATGTCAAAAGGTTTTCCTACTAATTATTTGCCAATGAACTCCAACCACCTATTTCCCATGGTAGGGTCCTTCGGCAGAGCATGCAAACCATAGTTGGCTGTGCATCCTGCTGGAAGCATGCAATTGTCGACCGGAGCCGGCATGGTCAATCCATATAGGGCTTTTCAGTCTGAAACCGCCATGATCCTTTGAACGTGCTGGGGGAGATGAAACAATGGAGCACCATTCAATGAGGGCAAGCGAATTAGGTGGAGGGGCGATTTGCATGTGGATCTTGGCAAAAGGGGGCATGAATTGTTGACATAATTGTAATCCAAACCCAACCTTCATTTACTCCTTGTGATGCACTCAGGTTCCAAAACGAGACTGACTTTATGACCAAAATTATCCTATTTACACTTTGTAGTCAATTTTTACACTAGAACAAATGTTTCTGACTCATATCAAAAATGTTTAGGGACAGTCGCTCTTTAAAACTTTCACTGAATGTTTCAGTAATACTTTTAATAACACTGCTAGCTTACTTTGGGTTAGCTTTTTTGAACTCCAAGCACAGATAGGACACATGGAAATATCCATGGAATTAGTCCACTGCGACACAAGGATGAAGCTAGTATACCATGTTTTGTTACACATACAAAGCTGTTCATTTTAGTCTATTCAAGCAAACCCCATTCCAAAGGAAACAAGCACTCATTAAGATCACCTGAGGTGCGTTCAGTTTGTTTGAACGTTTGCTACGTTGCAGAACGGTTTGTACTGAACGACAAGTTCCAAAACATTATTTTACATTCTTGAACAGACTTTGAGGTTCATTTGCTCCCGTTTGGTGGGTGTGGCGAGGTTTGGCTTGAAACAATGAGTGATGTATTTAAAGGGCAGTGGCCATGCTGACAGCGTTCCCCAACCCACAACCCAACCCCTTCCTGTTTTCAACTGGTCCTTTAGGACATAACCTAAGAACATACTGAACGCAGCCATGAACACACTTAACAAGATAGAGGATAGAGAGAGTTTTCGTGATGCTGAGAACCGAATATATGTTGTTGTTTTTAAAATTCTTAGAACATTCTCTGAACATTACTAAAGTTTTCTTGAGTTTTTTTTATAGAATGCTTTCTTCACGTTCTGAGAATGGAATGTATGTTTTTAAATAACATTCCTAGAAAGTTTTTATGAAAAGTTTTCTTAACGTTCTTGGAACAATTTGAGAACATGACTTTAAATAGAAACACAAGGAAACCTGTAGGAAACGTTATGCGGTAACACTTTATTTAGATAGTCCATTTGTAGATGCTCTATAGACTATCAGTAACATTTCAACTAACTATCTACTAACCCTAACCCTAGCCCTAACCCTAACCCTAACCTTAATCCTTCTCCTAACCCTTACCCTAACCCTTATTCTAAACCTAACTCTAACCGTAACCTTAGCAAGCAGTTGCTTATCAACAGATAGTTTCTTGATAGTATTTCTGTACTTCAGCATAACAGGTCACACTTGTTTGTGATAGTCCGGATAGTCCATCGGTAGATGCTCTACCGATGGACTATCCGGACTATCCAAAGAAAGTGTGACCTGTTATGCTGAAATACAGAAATTCCCACAGAAGAATGTTGTTTTTTAACGTTCTCTGAACTATTTGAGAACATTCACAATGTCAAAGCAGATGGAGAACGTTTCTAGAACATTACCAAAATGTAAATTAAATGTAACCATGTTTGAACTTATAGGAAACATTCTGTTAAAGTTTTGAAATACCAAGAAAATCTATTTTTTTGTCATGTTCCTTAAATGTGCTGAGAATGTTCCAAAGCCGACCAACTATCCTGCACCACTCCCAGAAAGTTGTGGGAAGGTATTCAAAACCATATGACAACCACGCTCTCACCGAGCTCTAATAAACATATTGTTCTCAGAACGTTATGTGCTAGCTGGGAATGAACCATAGATGAAATCCATAAAACTCACTAGTAAACATGCCGTAATGGATCCTACAGTATGATCATCTCACATTATAAGCATGAGAAGATGTTTGGGTGATAAATGGGCAGAGCTAAATCTATAACCATTGTTTCGCGCTTCTCTCTAGTCGAGAGAGCTGATCGCGAGAGATAGGAGAGAAGAGCGCGCTCTCGATATAAGCGCTCAGCTCGAGGATCGCTCGCAGTAGCTAGAGAGATAGACGAGGGCTGCGCTCTCTCTCTCTCTCTCTCTCTGCTCTCTCCTCTCTCTCTATCTTCTATTCTCTCTCTCTCGCTCTCCGTTCTCTCTCTCTCTCTCTCTCTCTCTCTCTCTCTCAATTCAATTCAAAGGGCTTTATTGGCATGGGAAACATATGTTTACATTGCCAAAGCAAGTGAAAAAGATAATAAACAAAAGTGACATAAACAATAAAAAATAAACTGTAAACATTACACTCACAAAAGTTCCAAAGGAATGGAGACATTTCACATATCATATTATGGCTATATACAGTGTTGTAACGATATGCAAATAGTTAAAGTACAAAAGGGAATAAATATGGGTTGTATTTACAATGGTGTTTGTTCTTCACTGCTTGCCCTTTTCTTGTGGCAACAGGTCACAAATCTTGCTGCTGTGATGGCACACTGTGGTATTTCACCCAGTAGATATGGGAGTTTATCAAAATTGGATTTGTTTTCTAATCATTCTACTCACAATACCCCATAATGACAAGTATGACGCTACAAGCTTGGCACACCTGTATTTGGGGAGTTTCTCCCATTCTTCTCTGCAGATTCTCTCAAGCTCTGTCAGGTTGGATGGGGAGCGTCGCTGCACAGCTATTTTCAGGTCTCTCCAGAGATGTTCAATCGGGGTTCAAGTCCGGGCTCTGGCTGGGCCACTCAAGGACATTCAGAGACTTGTCCCGAAGCCACTCCTGTATTGTCTTAGCTGTGTGCTTAGGGTCGTTGTCCTTCTGGAAGGTTCTCCCATCTCCACAGAGGAACGCTAGAGCTCTGTCAGAGTGACCATCGGGTTCTTGCTCACCTCCCTGACCAAGGCCATTCTCCCCCGATGGGTGGTTCCAAACTTCTTCCATTTAAGAATGGTAGAGGCCACTGTGTTCTCGGGACCTTCAATGCTGCAGACATTTTTTGGTACCCTTCCCCAGATCTGTGCCTCGACACAACCCTGTCTCGGAGCTCTACGGACAATTCCTTCGACCTCATGGCTTGGTCTTTGCTCTGACATGCACTGTCAACTGTGGGACCTTATATAGGCAGGTGTGTGCCGTTCCAAATCATGTCCAATGAATTGAATTTAACACAGGTGGACTCTAATCAAATTGTAGAAACATCTCAAGAATGATCAATGGTAACAGGATGCACCTGAGCTCAGTTTCGAGTCTCATAGCAAAGGGTCTGAATACTTATGTAAACAAGGTATTTCTGTTTTATTATTTTTAATAAATGTGCAAACATTTCTATAAACCTGTTTTCTCTTTGTCATTATGGGGTGTTGTGTGTAGATTGCTGAGGATAAAAAAATAAAAATAGAATAAGGCTGTAATGTAACAAAATGTGGAAAAAGTCAAAGGGTCTGAATACTTTCCGAAGGTACTGTACAGTCGTGGTCAAAGGTTTTGAGAATGTCACAAATATTAATTTTCACAAAGTCTGCTGCCTCAGTTTTGATAATGGCAATTTGTATAAACTCCAGAATGTCATGAAGAGTGATCAGATGAATTGCAATTAATTGCAAAGTCCCTCTTTGCCATGAAAATGAACTTAATCCCCAAAAGATATTTCCACTGCATTTCAGCCCTGCCACAAAAGCACCAGCTGCCATCATGTCAGTGATTCTCTCGTTAACACAGGTGAGAGTGTTGATGAGGACAAGGCTGGAGATCACTCTGTCATGCTGATTGAGTTAGAATAACAGACTGGAAGCTTTAAATGGAGGGTGGTGCTTGAAATCATTGTTCTTCCTCTGTTAACCATGGTTACCTGCAAGGAAACACGTGCCGTCATCATTGCTTTGCACAAAAAGGGCTTCACAGGCAAGGATATTGCTGCTAGTAAGATTGCACCTAAATCAACCATTTATCGGATCATCAAGAATTTCAAGGAGAGAGGTTCAATTATTGTGAAGAAGGCGTCAGGGTGCTCAAGAAAGTCCAGCAAGCGCCAGGACCGTCTCCTAAAGTTGA